TTCATCCGCCGCCCTCCGAGGTCTGAAACACCGCATCTCTGCACCAGCCTGACTGACTCTCACCCTCTGACCTCCAGCCTCTCTCCTGCCTCTACATCCACTGACTCTGGAGAATTAGGTCCCGGCAGCGACTAATACCTGGCAGGGTTTCATGTTGACCCCGCCTTACTGACTTCATGACAACTGGTCAAACTGGATCACAACCAACACACCCACTGATGCAGACCGATGAAACCCGTCATCACACACACACACACACACACACACACACACACACAGGGACATTTGTGTTACAATATTTGTTTCTGCTGAATTCGACGCAAAAATCTCAAAATGCCAAGACAGAGAGAGAGAGAGAGAGAGAGAGAGAGAGAGAGAGAGAGAGAGAGATAGAATTGATTTAGAGGTAAACGTCTATGCCAGGGTTAAATACCCAATAGTCTGAAAGTCTGCATCAGCCCTTCAAATCACATCCAAACTTTATAGTTATAAAGTTAAAGTGCAGCATAATAGTCCTTTTCAGTGCCAATGAAAGTCTAAACTTCCTCATACTGTACAATGAAATGAAAAACAACTGAAAGGAATTTATCACTGAGTTATGAGGTCATGTCCGAGAGGTGTAAACAACCCAGCAACATGTGAACTGCTTAAAATTAGTTGAGGCATATGTCAAAGTAGTAAAATATAACCTTCAGTTTCCCTTATGTATTAGTTTGGCAGTCAAAGCAGCCACATATTACACATTATAGTTATAGCTGGTGAGATCAAAATAAAGCACGGAACTGACTGAAAAGTCAGAGTTCTACCATGAACAAATACTTAAATCCATCATCATAATCTTCCCTCCATGGTTTCTGCCAGTTTTAACATGTTAAATTTCAGACTTTTAAAGACCTTTGTTAAGTACGACAGATTTGAAGGAATATTGGAGACCAAGTTATCTTACAAGCAGAGAAAGTCAGTAACCATAGTTTTTCTACAGCCAGGTCAAATGTACCAATGTATATTCTGATGAGAGCGTTTATATACAGTTACCAGTTCTACGCTGGTCTTTTTAGTTGTTATCTGAATCATTTCTGTGTTGTTGAGAAAGAATAAGACTTTACAAGCAACACATGGTACCAAAACTTGTAAAGCGTGACAGAAGTAGCCTTAAATTAACACTAACACAACTAAGACCTAACTAAATGTATTTCGGACCCAGGATGTAATATTTCAACATATGTAAGACTTTTTCAGGCCTACAATTCTGACTATTCAATTCTATTTAAGGTTATTTAAGACCCCACAGAAACCCAGTTCCTCACCCATGTTTTACCTGTGTGGAGAAGAACAGTGGTGAAAGCTTTGAAGCAGCTTCAGAAAAACATATCTTGGTGTCATTTCTGTCCCGGGCTCCAACAATGAGAAACACATCTAGATCTGACTGTGCTGGGAGGGAGTTTATATAACACTCGGCTTAAACTGTATTTTAACCACACAATCTTCCAACACCAGGTAAGAAAGGTATTTTAACAAACAAACACAACTGTGTATACACCAACTTCAAACACACACATCAGTCCCACAAATGCATTAGTGTGCGTTTGAACAGACAGACACATGCTTATCTGATTTATTTCCTTAGTGTGATCATTAAAAAACATTATCAACAACCGTGGCCATTTGCTATTTTATTTGCATTTGAGACAACCTGCAATCAATAGAAGAACAAGTTGAAATGTAATTGTGTTTGTTCTTGCTCTATTTAACTTGGTGAGCAGGTATAGTGAGAAGTGTGTAACTGACAGTTGCATAGATTACCAGAATTAGGCCCATTGAGCTCAAGATTAATACTGAACTGTTGGGCTATCAGTTAAAAAGACAGAAGTAACTAAACGGCAGTGTTTATCTCAATATTCAGTGTGGAAACTTTTAAGATTTGAAGAATTCTAAACAGAGTTTGCCAATACAGCTGCAGCTCTCCTGGACAAAAACAGAAAGGGAACTTTTGGCAGAAATATAATGTAGAATAATCCTCATGATGTTTTCACTAGTTCGTTTCATTTAAATTGTATGAATTGTAGATTTATTCAGCCCAGAAAAGGCCCTTTATATTGAAATACTTTATATTTACATCGCGGGGGTCCTCTCTACGGAGGCCGACATGTTTTTTACATTAGTCCAGACTGGACAAACGAAACACCTTTTGAGGTTTTTATGACAACTGAAGGTTACTATAGGTTCTTTTTCATGTTTGGAAGGAGAGGGTGAGGTGAGGGGTGTTCAGCTGCAACATGCAATTTCAACACTAGATATCACAAAATTCTACACACTGTACCTGTAATGGCTCTGACAGGGCTGGAGCCCAACAGAATTGATCACCACATTTGGCTGCAGAGGGCACTGTTGCTCAAGTTACATAGTGTTGCTCTGACTGGTTGTTTTTACAAGAGATGAAAAGTAGAAATGGAATTGTTTACTATAATGCAGCTTTAAAATCACAAAATACCATGAGGCGTTAATAGGAACTGTGTTATTTTAACACTTACAAAGACAGAAAGCAACATTGGACATTGGCCATCACAATAATCAGGATTCATAAAGACACCAGGCCAGTCTTCAGCTGAGAGGACAGCTTTATGGATTAGTCTTGTGTCCAGTCTGTTGAGTCAACTGACAATCAGAAATAGGCAGGCAGATAGATAGATAGACAGACAGACAGACAGACAGACAGAGAATGGTGTAGATGGAGATGTTGTAGTGTGACAGAGGTGTATACCTCAACCTACAAGGACAACACCCCTGCCTGCTGCTGGGAAATGAAACCTATTCATTACAAAGGTGTTTTAATAAGTACCAGCCACTTCCACTGTGTCACTCGGAGCTGAAATTTAACTATAATGTTCTTTTTTATTGTATGGTCAGAATATTAACAATGGATCAGCTGCATGCTGTGTTTATAACCACACACCCAGACTTTACCGGAGCCATGTTATTCAAGCTTAAAAGCCATGAATTCAACTTTTATTGGCGTCCTCGACGTGTCCTTGGTAGTTTCAACGCGTCATACCGGTGCTTGAGGTCATCATGCAGGCGACGACATAAGTCAGACCATCTGCACAGCTGCTCGGGCTGAAAACCCTGGAACTGGTTCACATAATCAAACACCGAGGAGCCGGGTGAGGCAGAGACAGTCTCTATGTGGACCACGGTGTGGACACGAAGGTGTCTGTGTCTTACAACAGGACATGGAGCGGATTATCCTGTCCTGTGAGGAGCGCTCACGCGATGACGCCGGTGGCCGCGCTGTTCTCGTCAGTCGCACGTTATAATCGTGTGATGGCTGCTCACACATCCGGGATCGAATCGTATAAAATCGTCCTACCTGCTCAACTGGAGGGAGGATGCTCCCCAGCACGGCTCTGGTGCCGACATGCTGCTGCTGCTGCTGCTGCTGCTGCTGATGATGATGAGCTCTCTGGTCTCTTTGTTCCTGTGTGGTGTGAGGAGGGGATCCGACTCATCCGGTGTTCAGCAGCCGGTCTGGTCACGGTCTCTCTGAGAAATGACTCATCCCGGATAATAGTACAAAATTCACAGAACTGCTAGAATACTGGTTTGAGTGGAGGAGCTAAAATATCTTAGAATAGGCTAAAACAAATGAGAAGTAAACGTGGGAGATGTAATTGTGCAAGAGAAGTAGGAAACACAACCATGTCAGTGGCTTCATCTGCCAGATGGGGGCAGCAGAGACCACATTTAGCAACATAATACTGTAATCAAAGCCGTGGTGGTGTTTCAAGCTGCCTGCTGTGGGCGCCTCTGACCTCAACATCCACCAGGGAGTCCAACGGCTTTTATTGTGTTGAGATGAGTTTGACAGATGTGTGGCCCCCTGCTTTTACCCACGATATAATTATGCGTCACCGAGTTGCACCAAAGTTCAATTCAGAGTCTGGCGATGCTGTCGTGAGTCTCCACTCACCCATTGTTTGGTGGGGGCTGCATAAAACATGTTTTTAGTTTGTGTGTGATATTTTTTGTGACTTGTTTTTTCATCACTTATTCTTTCATACAAATTACATTCAGTCTTTCCAACTATATCAACGTTTTTCTCTTTTATGTGGCTTTTTTGTAGCCTTTAGTGCGTCAACAATGCGTAATTACGCACGCGTAAAGACCAGTATTCTCACAATACAAGTGTAAACAAATAGACAACACAGCATATAACCACGACATCGCAGTTTTATTTTTGTTTATATAGCATATATACAACATTTGCTGACAATAGCAAAAATAGAACAGATCCCAACAGAGATACAGCAGAGACACATAATATGTCTACAATGTTCATCTGCACAGACTCAGGACACTGACGTCTATGGTGCAAATTCATACATACTTTGACCCTTTGGGTCTTACAGGGCTGTTTCAACAGCCCTTCATCATTTAGTCCACAAAGAGGACTAAATATTTAACGTATACATACATGCAGATTTAAAAAATACGACTGTCTAAACTTGTCAACTTATATAGGACATAAGACTCGTGCGCAAAACGTAAGTATATAATACTCAATCATTACGATTTAACGATGAATTCTGGCTTTTCATCATCGGAAACGAGGCATTAAATCACTGTGTATATTTACAAGTGAATCTATCTGAACACGTTACCTACATATGAATTATTTTAGTCTTTTCCAGGCTTTGGTGAGACCCGGCTTCTTGAAGTTGAGAGATCTACCAAGGTCTCCACATGGCAGCGCTGACAGACTGTGGACCTGGCAGTGCGCGGCTGGGAGCCACTGCGCTGCTGCTGCCGCGGGACTGACTCTCCAGTCTGGAGCTGAAGCTGGATTTGAGGCTCAGGAGTCTCTGTTGGATCTGAGGGAGGCTCTTGGAGCTCTGAGCGCAACAGTTCAGGCAGGTTGGGCTGACGGTGGCGGACATGGACTGCTGAACGAAGCAGTTCACCCGCTGGCACGCGTCTTGATCCAGGCTCGTTTTGGGAAGCAGGGTTGAAACGCGCTGGAGGCAGGCTTTGAAACCTTCTCTGTAACTGTCTGTGGAATCTGAAAAGACAATGAAATGTTACTTTCATTGTTCAAAACAACGTTCACATTAATAAAGAATCAGTTTTTTATCTGCAAACAAGCAGAACCATAACCCACCTTTGGTGTTAACAGGGGGGGTGTCACTGAGGAACCTCACAGTCATTTCAAGGATGTCGGCTTTCTCAAGCTTGGAATAACGAGTCTTCTGTGGAAAATTATAAAAAGAACATGTTTAATATATCATTCGTTACGTTACCTTGATTTTTGTATAAATAAAAGGCGTATATATTGCATATACTGAAATGTATATGATAACTTACATCTCTGCCTGTGAGGGGGAGGATGAGGTTTTTCAGGTGGTTCAGGCTGTCGTTGATACGGGCGCGCCTTCTTTTTTCCATCAAAGGTTTCATAGTCTGAAAAGATAAAATGATGTTTAGTTTTCATTCGTTACATCAAGAGAAATACATAGAACAAAATGTTTAAAATAAGGAAAGAAAATGCAAGGACTTCACATACCTTTCTGATCTCAAGGGCCTGTTTTCTTTTGGCCACAGATGGTCGTGGAGAAAAAGCTTGGAGAGCTTCACAAGTCATGTTTGGAGACATTTTCAGCGTCGTCTTTGTGCCAGAGAAGTGTCCGGAGTACAAATCTGGTGGAAGAGTGTCTCTAACGGCCGAAGGCTGCGGTATTTATCCAGGTCTGTGGCTTCGGTCTTCGTGCGTCACGGGTACGCCCCCAAGCCGACACAAAACAATTTGAAATGACTACGTATTGGGTGAAAACAACGCAAGCGCTTCACATTTTGGAAAGATAACCATCTGTCTTCTACTCTAATCCAAGCGTGACAACTGCAGTGCGTGTCTGCGGTAAAATCCATCGACCTAATCAGACAAATTGTGCCTCAAAAAGCTGCAGAAAACTGTGCGTAAAGAAGCCTAAAGCTTGGACGCACCGAATGCCCATTCACCAAATACAAATCTGCACTCTCCAAATAAACATACTGTTAAAAAGTAAACAATTTAGCTCATTATTAGTAATCAATTCTCAAGTATAGATGGAAAATAATGTTGTTTATTTGTTGAATACAAATATCTGGCGCGTAATTACGCACCAATACTTGGGCTGTATATGTTTGGAGAAAAGCGTAGGGTTAATAGCATGTAAATATTAGGTGAGCTACTGATGAAACACATCAGAATAAACAAAAAGAATTATGTTTATCGAGACAAAAATGTCTCCATTGGATTGAAGATGCAGTTGACTGCTTCTTTCCAGTTGGTAGTATCGTATATTATTATCATGTATTATTATTATTTATAATCTCATTTGGTTGGATCAGTTTCAGTTTTTAAAACATATAATTTAATGCTGAATATTGGAAATATTTCAAAAATAATCGAGCACACTTAGAACAGGGTGCAGTACATACATTGCTGGCATAGGGGGCACGCTTGCGTGCGCGTTAAGTGTCTATGGAGATACAGACTCTTAAATCACATACCCAAGCCACGCTACTTTCATATAACATCTGCTCCTAGATTTGGACAACAATAGTTTTGCATATGACGTTTAATGCAGTTTCAGCCCGGGGGAGTCTCTACCTGTACGGTGCATCCCCCTGCTGCCAGCCACTCAAGCATGTAGGGCGGTGGGGGCTGAAAGCCAGAGGGTGGCCAGTGAGGGTGCATGTTCTTTAATCACAATAGCCGATAATCACAGTACAGTAAAGTTACCCTGTGTTTAAACTCATGGGACCTTGGGTACACACAATACTTTGGTGAAATACTCCATGTAGTTAATAACTAAAAGCATCGTGCCCTGTGAGGAATATGAATACAACTTACATCTTTGAGATTTTTCAATAAAAACTGCAGAGACATGACGACCCATCAAATACCACTGCACTCAGGGGAACCACGCGCGCAGCACGCGCCACGGGGACCAGATGGCTGTCTGTTACCGACCCTTCCACCCCACCCACCTCCATCGCTGAGCCCCCCCACCCCTCCACCCCCAACACACATGCACTCCTCCTGCTATCCCCACCAGCATCACGAGGAGCCAATCCCCATGTCCAATCGTAGATCCATCCCTCATCCATAAGCACACACACACACACACACACACACACACACACACACACACATTCACCATAAACTTTACAAGCCAAGAGACATGATCTCCACGCAGTATTAGCGTGGGTATCCCATCTGTATGCGAGTTATTATGGCTCCATGTTAGTTCAACTGAAACAAACCAACCCCCCCCCCCTCCCCGTTCACTAACTCCGTGCTGCAATTGTTTTCTATAGCTTGACTCCGTGGATATTTCAGCGTCCACGCCATCATGAGGTACTTGTTTATCAATGCTATGGTGATGACGAAACACAAAGCTCAGTCTGCATGACGCATGGAGATGAAAGATGTTTGTCTGGAGGAGCACGCTGCCTCATGGCCCCGTAGATTATAGAATCACACTGCAAAACGCTCAGTGAGATTGTTCAAATCTTTAAAAGAACGTTTTATTCTGACATGCATGGTGACAATTTGGCAAAAATAAAAGTATATAAGCCACATAGCATATGAGTTATATACGTGTCAAGTATAACAAACAAAGGGAAACTGTTATCCAATGGATTTGAAGTTCACTTACAACTCTAAAGTCTGCAGCCAACGTTGTACTAGCTTTTTTGTAGCCTATTAACGTTATATTATTTTCTAATTAATACGAGCCTATATTTATGTGGTTGGTTGTCCTTCCTTTTTATGGCACAATAGTTTTAACTGTAGTTTCTGTGGAATTGCATGTGGTTAATCTATATGCACATGCAGGCTATATTTCATTTCTATTTCCACAACTTGAAATGGAAAAAACAAAGTGCAGAATCAAAATGTTGAGGTCGCCATCATGTTTTGCTTTAAAAAAAGAAGAAAGGAGACAAGCGTTGCTGGCCTGAAATTGAGAGGCACACTTGCTGCACGCGCCCCTCTCCGTCCCGCTGGGATGGAGGGATGATGGTGATGATGATGATGGGGGATGGGCGGAGGTCGCTGGGTGGGGGCAACCACTTCTCCTGAGTTTTTGCTCTTACGGTTAGAGTCCTCCTTTGTCTCTACAGGCAAATTCGGCGTCGGTGACCCATCTGTGCAGGCCGGATAACAGGGAGCCTTTGTCTGACAATGTTCCGACACTTCATGGGAATTAAGAGTCACATGGTGGAGACGCAACAAGCGGGACTCCACCTGACTCCTGCCGCTGCTGTGATGTGGCTCCGGTGTCACACACAACGCCAAGCGTCGTTTCCAGCTTTGGACAATGTCTGATCCCTCCACATGAAGAGGAGCAGTTAAATTGAAATATGTTGACAAAATGTGTTGTCTGCAGTGTTTATGCATTATTCTGTTCAGCAATGAAAGCAAACGTGAACACAACACATCTCCCTGCAATAGTGAAATCAGACTTGTACAGTTTTTTGGCTAATATGGTAATTTTCGTTACTTTTGTGAGATTTAATCCCTTTCTTCATGTTCAACAAAAATAGTAAAACTGAATAAGCACAATTTGAAATGAATAATAAAAACTGCATAATTTTTCCTTTTGCACATTAGTATCCCTTGCATATTACTTGTGTGTCTACAACGTGTACACATTTCATACCATAATTCCATATGTATAACTCTTACTGTAAAAATTAACTTTCAATTCAATTCATTTTTATATTTAGATCATATTGTATACTACTGTGGATTTATACTCATATAGCACATACAATTTTTAGGTCATGTTCATAATGTATATGTCTTCCTACACTTATAACATATATGTATGTCTTTATCAATATCACTTCAGATAAAAACAGTAAACATCCTATTGTATTCATCCTGTACCACTGCACTTCACTCAAGTATGTTTCTCTACAAATATGTAGTGAAAGTTGTATTTTATGCATTTTACAATGCAAATCATAGAAACCCCTTGCTTGAGAAGAGTTTCTAGAAGATGATATGAGCTACGATAAAAAATACATGTCTTTGTAAATATTGACCCACAGATAAATCACGGTGCCGTCACTTAGAAATGTTAAAAACAAAGCTAGTTAGTAAACTGGAGAGTTTTATAGCATAAATGCATCAGTATCTCAGCTGGAGAGTCAGCAGCATGAAACATGTGAAGACAAAGGAACTGTCTCAATAACTCAACCAAAAATGACTGAAAACCACAAAGGAGAGACCGCACAAGATACCAAGAGACCGATGACAACTCTGACACTGTTTCAATCTTTAGACTGGAAAGTCAGTGTCTAGCTCAAGAGCAGCTTTATGGAAGCATGGGAGAGACTACTCATTCCATCTCAGCTACAGTATGTCAGGAGGCACACCTTACCTCCATGTTTAAGTGTTTTTTACAAATCTGTATCTCCTAAAATAAAACATGGTGCTATGGAGAATGCTTCTAAGCAGCAGGACTGAAGGCTTGTGGGTAGGGGATGAATGCAGCTATAGAGCAAATATGGTGGTGTCTATAAGAGACCTGCAACCTGGAGATTTGGAGATGTGTTGTCCAACATGACAGTGAGCCTTAGCTTGAAGCCACACAGTCAAGGTTCAGATTCAATTAAATTCAATTACATTTTATTTGTATAGCGCTATAATTATTATAATATACATTATCTCAAGGAACTTTAAATAGAAGGTCAAGACCTTAAAAAGAGAAACCCAACCGTTCAACAGTTCAACAGTTCCCACAGTGAGCAGCACTTTGGACTGTGGAGAGAAAAAAACATGCTCATTAACTGGTAGAAGCCTCAAGCAGAACCAGACTCAATGTGAGCTGCCATCTGCATCAACCGGTTGGGGTCAGCAGACAAAACTGGGGAGGAAAGGACAGGTGGGTGGAAAAAAGGGGAGAGAAGAGAGAGGGGGAGGGTAGAGGGAGGAGAGGGGGAGAAAGATGAGAGAGAGACCATGCAGGAACAGTTGTGCACCATCAAGTTTCAGCTCTGACAGAGTAGTTGTTATAATGAAAACAATATGAGTGATAATTATGGATGTAAAGATGTTATTAATGACAGCAGTAACCGTTCATATGATAATAGTTGTTATCTGAATTCTGCAGCTTTGGAGTCAGAGATATCTGCAGAGAGAGAGACAGAGAGACAAAGAGACAGAGAGAGAGGGAAAGAGAGAGACAAAGGAAAAAACAAAGTCAGTGACATGCAGTAAATTAAATAAATAAATAAATGTGGGGGCAGAGAGACAGAAAGAAGGGGAGAGGTGCTCAGTGCATGATGGTGATGATAACTAAGGGATGGTTCCGGACTCACCTGATTCAGCCTTTATCAAAACCCTTTAACCTTAAATGTAGAGATAGTGTCTGCCTCCCGAACCAAGAGTAGGAGCTGCTTTCACAGGATATATGAAGGGGCTTGATTGTTGAATGTGAGGAGCAAGTTCTAGAATTCTATACTGAATTTTAAAGGGCGTTAATGCAGAGAGGCTAAGACAGGAGCAATATGATCTCTCCTTCTAGTTCCTGTCAGCACTCGTGCTACAGCATTTTGGACCGACTAGCGGCTTTTCACAGACTTACTGGGACATCCTGACAATAAAGAATTACAGGAATCCAGTCTGGAGGTAACAAATGCATGGACTAGTTTCTCAGCATCCTTCTGAGACAGGGTGTTCCTAATTTTTATAATATGGCACAGGTGGAAGAGAGCTGTCCTAGAGACTTATTTTATATGTGGGTCAAATGACATGTCCTAGTCAAACATAACTCACAGTGGAGCTGAGGGCCAAACTAATACCATCCAAGGTGACTATCTGGTCAGACAGTGATTATCTGAGATGTTTAGGGCCAATTACAACGACAACAGTTTTGTCTGAGTTAAGAAGTAAGAAGTTTTGGGTCATCCAGGCCTTGATGTTCTTGAGACATTCCTGAAGTTGAACTAAGTGATTAGATTTATCAGGCTTCATAGATATGTACAGCTGGGTGTCGTCTGCGTAACAATGGAAGTGTTAGTGATGCTTTCTGATGATGTTGCCTTAGGGGAGCATATATAAGGTGAAGCGTATTGGTCCATGGACAGAACCTTGTTGAACTCCATGACTTACCTGTGTGTGCATGAAAGAGTCATTGTTAATAAGAACAAATTGAAATCTATCTGATAAATACGACTTAAACCAGCTTAATGCTGTTCCTTTAATCCCTACACGTTGTTCCAGTCTCTGTAACAGAATTGTATGATCTATGGTGTCAAATGTGGCACTAAGATCCTGCAGGACAAGTATAGAGACATTATCTGATACCATGAAAAGGTCATCAGTAACTTTTAACAGTGCTGTTTCTGTGCTGCGGTGGATTCTAAATCCTGACTGAAAGTCTTCCAACACAATCCAAAAGATCTCACTCATGATCCCCCAAAGCATGAGTAGTTTGAACACTGCAGTGCTCAGATGTGCAAAGATGACAAAGATCTATTCACAATGACTGAGGACATACTAATATACTAAATGCTGACTTGAAGGTGGTGGATCCCAATCCAAATAAGAAGCCTTCTATATTTTATATTCCTTACTCGAGGTCTGATTTCTCTTTGACATAAAAGAATGAATGAATGTTAAATCATTGATTCAGTTTCAAAACAAAATAAAAAACAGGACACACAGAGTCATAACACATGAGAACTTGTACAGATCACAGATACTTCTAATGGGTAGAGATGATCCAATACAGCTACCTGGACCTTGCATGTCGGCTGATACTGAGTAATGAACCAATATCAGTGCATTAAAAAAGAAAAAACTTATATGACATAGTTTGACAGCTGTATGCGACTAACCCTGTATGGAAGTGATGATTGCTATAATTGTGGTGTGGTCTGGCTCAGATAAACCCTTTGAAAAACAAATACACACAGAGAAAGATGCCATAAAAAATATAAATATAGATAAATATATCTTGGAATATACAACAATGAACTCCTAATTTCTTGATTTGGGGCTGTCTACGTTGAATAGATCATGTCGTTTGAATGCGGTTTCCAAAGTTTGCAACTGCAGTTTGTTGTTCTTCCCTTCTCCTTGGTGAACTCCTCCTGCTCTTCAGTAGAATGGCTTTTCAAATGCTTTATGAGATTTTGTAGTGTTGTTATTGGCAACACTGATACAACTATTTGAAACAGCAGTATTTCATATGGTACATGTCACTGTTTTACTTGTGGGACTTTCTAGCATCGAATATTGTGACATTGCTGAAATTAGCTAGCACTGGCTAATGCTACACTACCAGAAATCACTTCCTCTTTGCAGATCTAAAAACAGTACTTGTCAGCGACACCAAAGTGCAACTGTTGTTTTGGAGCGGTGAAGATTAAGTGATTTCCAGGAAAATAAAGTTGCAGTTTTATCTGTGTGAAACTAATATGCTAAATCAACAAAAAAATATGGGAAAGACACTCACGTCAAGTTTTTCCATGGTAATGTTTCGAGTACACGTCTCAGCACATCTGAGGAAGAACCTTGTGCAACATCACTGGTCCAACCAACTGCCCAAAACCAAGACATATTCAGTTTTCTGTCATATATGATACACAAAGCAAGCTGTGAAAAACTGGAACCAATGAATACTTGGCATTTTAGCCTGAATTAAATTTTAATGAAAAAATGTCTCCAATTTTTTTCTGATTAATTCTGTCTGTTCACAACATTACACACAATTAGTGTTCATATGAAAATACAGTTTTAGTTCAGCTGAAGTTAATATGAGACCTCAGCCTCTGTAAGATAAATCAACTTGTTCTGTTTTCTACCAAAAGGTCTATAAACTGTGCAACTCAATAACTCAGACAATGAAGCCTCATATCAACTTTGGCTAAACTTGGGAATTTACTTTTAATAGAATGAAGATGGAACTCCCAACTTTTACAAACAACCAGTTACTATTTCAGTCGACATATGAGTATT